CCTATTTTACCTCTTAAAGGGACACTCTAGATTGCCTAAAGCACTTGAGCTTGCTGAAGTACTTTGTGTGAAGAGTGTGTTCTTTTTATTTTATAATAAAGTGCAGATTTCAATAGAAATTAGCAATGTTATAAATTAACTTTTTTACACCCCTGGCTGTCCTTCAAACAACCGGTCATGTTACTTCCTGGTTGTTTAGTTCAATGATGCTGAACTCAAGAGGCAGTCAATTACCCAGAGCATCTGCCTTACAAAAACTTGTAATTGAGCTGCATTGGGAAGTCTGTAATTAGACAGCCGCACAAAAGACTGGATTGGGTTAGATGGGAAAGGCTTGCAAGAGAACTGCAGTTTTTGAATGCTGTTTTAAGATATATCCCAAATGAAAAAGTGCATATATAATGACATCTGTGTTTTAATTGGTGGTATATCTACTAAACTGTGTATTTCTTTATAATTTTTTTCATTTTGTCAGTGGAGTGTACCTTTAACATCTGTCGTACATTTCATTTCATTCTAGAAATAGTGGACTTAAAAGTCCCTTATGATAGCATAGAACATCCTGCATTTTAGGTTCGAATCCCTTCTTACAGCGTGAGAGATCCAGATATCAATACCTGTGTGCAGTGCTCCTTTAAATCCCAGTGGCTAAACAGCTACTTTAATCCATGGTGAATCTCTTGGAAGCTTAGATGAATCCTGCATTCCTTTGCAGAAAGAGAAATGCACAGGATCTGAAAAGACCCTATCCTGGTCTACCTTCATGCCCCCTCAGTTAAAATGGACCAGTACTGGTCTGTGCATGCTTACCAGTGGTAATCAATCAGAGCTAGGCTAGCATCACTCTGCTGGGTGAAAAGAAAACCTCCTTTTTTGTGATCACAAAGATCAAAGATTCTATTTATTAATGAGGGTTAGAGTATTTTAACTGTCAGGTTTGGTGCAAAGTTAGGGCGCATGCAGTGGTATGATTGGCATTAGTGTTAGAGTTGGTGTAACAAAAAGAACAGTTTCAGCAAAGACTTGTGGATTAAAATGCAGTTTGGGACTTTACAAGCATTCTCCATGCACATGCTTGCTAACCACTAACAGGCCACCCTGACTCTAAATTGAGAGTAATTTACCTCCCTGCTTGATGGGCATTTTTGTGGAAAAACCGTATGAATGCTATGGGAACTGTATGCACGGCCGCCATTTCGGGACTTCCACGTGTTCGCAGCCACGTGTCTGGAACTAAAATCGGACACTCAAATAGGCGAACACCGCTGAGACCTCCATACCTTCGGGAGAGACACGCCAAAACTACCGAACGACAAGGCATTCGGTAGAAAGACTCAGCAACGGATGGGGATTTCAGCGAACCCAAGATGGCATACGGATGGCCAGCCGTTCGGGAGTTTTTACACACGATCTAAGACCGACTGCAGGGCCAGCATTCATGGAATTGTTTTCGGCTACTCTGCCCGTGCGGTCGGTCAAAACTTTCAAGTCCCATATCTCCCGAACGGCTGAACCGAATGGGCTGATTTTTAAATATGTTAGTCCCCCAGAAACAAGCTATCTGACATTTGGGGTACATCCAAACTTTGGGGAAAATATGTTCCTTTTTAATTATGTTATTTAGTTATCTAAGGGGAGGAGATGTACAGAATGTATATTGTCTTGATTGGTTATACTGTTAATTATGTGGGTGTCTCCCTTGCATGGGCAGAATCACATAAAAGAGAGTGTCTGTCAATAAATCCTTAGTTCTTCTTGACCCTTCAAAACGTAGCCTCGTCTCGTTCTTGAAAGGGGAATCTCTGCAGCATAATCACTCAGCTCTTTTCAGAGCTGCACTTGACTTCTACTCCTGATCCAGCAGAAGGGAATAGGCGACTCCATCACTACACAGCGACTTGCTGGGAAGAAAAGGATGTCCCCAACGGCTGATACCCTCACCATAGCGGGGTAGCCGTT